GGTGAGCTTATTGTGAAACCTAGCCCCACCCTATCATGTGATTTCTTGAGGTCAGATGGCCCTCCTCTGTTCAAAGATGTCTTTGAACGACACCAACTGTCTGCCATCTACAATCCAGTTTTGAGATCCCTTCCCAGACGCCTTAACACCCACTCACACCCTGGGCCATCTGACCTCAGGAAATCACATGATAGGGTTTCTTTCCAAGCTCCTTAGACCACTTCAAGTGACTACATCATAAAGAGAAGGTGTGTCCGGACCTTTGACTGGAAGTATGATATAACACACACACACACACACACACACACACACACACACTATGAAGATCTAGATCTAAAAAACCAGTCCTCTTTATAGCGGTTGGATTATTTCTGTAAATTGATGAAGCTGAAGTTGGAATTATGCAGTCCAGTCATTTATTTCATTGGTGCAGATATTCACACAGCACATGAATGAACAGCAGCTTCGGGTTTTACACACTTTGTAAGCTGTGTATAAAAAGAATAAACAATAATAAACAAAATTTACATTAATATTACAGATGAAACTGGTTCACTCATTTCTGTGTTGAACCAGCTAACTCAAATCTCTCCTGCTGTTACATCAACAATGTCATCTGGTGGTTACGAGTTTAGAGCAGAGTAAACTTGTGTCTGAAGCTTTATGTTTTGTGATGAATCTTTCTGATAGATGTGTGGACTGTAGGTTCCTGTTAGTACCGATGGGATATTACTATAAGAAGCTCAGCATCTGTACTTCTGCTACAAGGTTCTGCGTCCTGGCTTTATTTCTGAAATAAAATAAAAGTATAACAAACACAGCCAGCAGAGCTGCTGACACTCCCATTAAAATGTAGAAACCAATCATTCCCCCATTTTCTGCTGTTGAGTTTGTTGTTGGTCTCTGAGGTTGGAGCTGGTCAGAAACTGCTGTAAATGACATGAAAATATTAACATTAAACATCAGAATTAAACTGGTAACAGTTCAGTTCATAGTGTTAGTTAGAGATCATATAACAAAAATCTCATAATAATAACTTTAATGTATAGAATAAAACAGCCCTTAGTTTGTAAACTCTATTAAGGCTACTTCATGGACTATGTAAAAGACAGAGGTAGCCACGATGACATGACATCATCTATTGTTTAGTGAAGGCCTGTTATGAAGCATTGATCTGAGTGTTTTTACCATCGCCATCCTGATTTTTTTCAGATTTGGACATGAGGAGCGAGAGGCAAATCTGACTGAGAAACTGTATAATTCTCCTTACCAGGTTTAGCCTGCTAAGTTAAGACGAACAGGCAAAGATTTTAGGAGATTAACTGGTGAAACAAAGTTTGAGGCCAGAGTAGCTGACTGATAATCTGCAGGTTTCACCTTTCAGATGATGACATTTCTTTGACTGAGATGTTTTCATACATCATCCTAGACATAAACATCATAAACAAATTGACTGTAAACCACTTAATAAGAAAGTTTAACTAAATCAGGTTACCAGTCACATTGAGTCGACATCTTCCAACACTGAAGCCATAATCAGTGTTCACCTCACACAGGTACAGACCTGAGTCATCAGTCCTGAGTCTGGACAGTTGAAGTCTGATTCGTCCTTCTCTGAGGGCGTCGTTGTCACTCTGGACTCGTCCTGAAAACTTTTCATCCTGAGACTCTGACAAGTGACAAAGACATGCAGCTTGTGGGGATAGGTTAATTGGATAATCCAAATTGCCATCAGGTGTGAATGTGCGAGTGAATGTGAGTGCGAATGGTTGTCTGTCCCTGTGTGTTGGCCCTGCGACAGACTGGCGACCTGTCCAGGGTGTACCCTGCCTCTCGCCCTATGACAGCTGGGATAGGCTCCAGCGCCCCCCGCAACCCTGAAAAGGATAAGCGGAAGCGAATGGATGGACTCTGACACCTCAACACCTTCATGAACATGATAGAAGCCCGAGGTTTCATAATTAGTCATCTGTTGACAGATGATGGAAACAGAGTTTGTG